CACAGGTTGAAAACCGCTGTACTAGAGATATGGTAGGATAGATAAATAGATGGCAATGTGGTTGGAGGAGTGGATCAGGCGTCCTCAAATTATGGCCCACATGTGGCCTGCTGAGGACATTTATCTGGCCCACCAGGTGTTTTTGCCCCATTGGTTTTTTACTTCAAAATAAGATATGTGCAGTCTGCATAGGAATTTGTTCATAGTTGTTTGTTTTTTTAACTATAGTCCGGCCCTCCAATGGGTCTGAGGGACAGTGAACTGGCCCCTGTTTAAAAAGTTTGAGGACCCCTGGAGTGGATGGATGGTTGGGTTGTTGGTTGCTTAGTTGGGTGAATGACTGGATGGACAGATCGTAGGGTTGCTGGATGGATGGATGGATGGATGGATGGATGGATGATGGATGGAGAGATGGTGGGTTGGATAGGTAAGTGGATGGAAAGATGGTTGAATGACTGGCTGGGTGATGATTAGTTGCTTAGGTGGATAGATGGTTGGGTTAGTGGGTGGTTGGAGGGAGAGATGGAGTGGGTGGGTGAATGGATAGTGGGTTGCTGGATGGATGGATAAGCTCAGTGGAGAGGGTGGAGGGTGGAGGGTGCATTAGGCCAGGCCACTCCCCTGTGTCAGATCCAGTGAAGACGTGCCATTGCTCTTGAACAAAACTTCTCTCCAGCCTTCCCCTCCGCCAGCTCACTGCCCTTCCCGCACGCTGGACCCACTTCCGAGCCTTCGCCTCTAGAAGGTGTCGCTCACCGTTTCAGATTTCCTCTGCCTGGGAAACTGCCGCAGGGGAGTTTGTGAGCCTGGGACCTTTGGGAGCAGATGGCCAGGCCTGTCTCCCCAGGCACCTGCGGCGGGGTCTGAGCAGCAGCCTGGAGGCTAGGAGCGGGGCGCTTAACCTCGGCACCACCTGGGACCCCGAGCATCAGGCCTGGCTGGACGGCAGACAGCACCACAAGCTCAGCTCCGGGTGCGTGTTCATTGAGTGACTCCCTACGCCAGCCCCGTTGCTCCTCTGACTGCCCGTCACGACCCTCCACACCCAGGTGCTGCGGGCCAGGAGCAGAGGGACGCGCCCCTGCCTTAACCTGAGCTCCTGCCGTCCTGCTCGGATTGTCTGAGCCACCCTGGGGGGTGGGTCCAGGCTCTTCCCTGGAGATGCCTGGCGTCAACCTCCGGGACACCGGCACCACTTACGGTTCCCCGTGCCCGTCTCTGACGGAGTGAAAATTCGAAGCTCAGTATAGATTTCTCTCAGATTTCAGAGAGCCTCCCATCTTTGCACTCCGACCTGACAGCAGTATTTTTAGCAACTTGCTTTGCCTTATGCTTCCCAAAGCCTCCAACCCCACTTTCACGGAAGTAGGAACATTTTCTGTGTTCTTATTAAAACATTCAATCAATGCACATAACATCTAATTAAATCACCTAATTACAGTAACAAGCACACCTG